TGCACAGTGGGCGGAAACGCTCAAAACACGGGATTAAATGGTGGTCCATGACGGACCCTTATAAAAATGTGTGATTTGTCTAATTTGATGATGCTCTTTCAAGATCTGGGCCGAAAATGTGTGTGCGAGTACCAGAAATTCGTAATTTTGACAGAAAAATGCCTTAAAATGACAAAAAAAATGGTAAAAACTTTAAATTTTTAGTGCAAATGATAGAATGGGTGATATTTATATGGATTCTATCTTATAAACACCTCTGCACGGCAAACACATCCACGGCTTCGTTTGTTGCTAACTATTCCCGGAGGTGGGAGGTACCATAACCTCAAAAACTACTTCATGAGAATTTAGATGTAATAATTCATTGAACTATTCTTTGACCTATTTAAGACAACTTTATAAGTATTAGGAAGTATTCTGCACCATCTCGCGATGATTGTAATAGCGAATAGCCCCGAAAAACGAATGTGCGTCGGCTGCTGAGCTTGAGCGGTGCGCAGACGACAGCTGTTCAACCCTTCATATAAATCTTCCGCATTTTCAAAATCGGACGTTTTCGGAAGAGATCTCGGTCTCCCCCTTTGAGTTACAACTAGAGCTACCTTTCACACCTAGTAAGAGAATCCGATATGGTCCGATTCGTAACTTATCTCAATAAAAGTGAAGCCGAAATCATGTTTCGCACTTGCCCATATTTATTGACATTATATCTTTCCTGAGTCCGTCAGCAGGCGCTTCTGGCCAGAAAATAAAAGAAGAAAGTCTATTTAATCCATAGGAAACGATCAACTTTACCTCCGAGCTACAAAAGTGTGATATCTTGTCAAACAAAATACCTCCGAAATCACTCAACTTAAGAGGGTGCCCCGTAACTCAACTTTGAAACCTCCCTGCGCTGCCGCCAGAAGCCTAATGGACATTTGGACTTAAGAACCTGATGGTTCAAAGCTTTAACTGAGATCGAAGCACCCCTGACAAGTCAAAATAAAAACTTGAAATCTTTGAATTAATCCCGTGTTTGCGGCGTTTCCGCCCACTGTGAGTTGCAAATTTGTGATTTGTGATCAAAGATTTAAACTGTAATTTTTTTTTTACCCTTCATTCTTTGTGTTCCAGGTACATCCAACCTTAAT